TGTGGCTGGGCGAGGTGGCTCACGCTTGTAATACCAGCACTTTGGGAGGCTGAGGTGGGTGGATCATTTGAGGCCAGGAATTCCAGACGAGCCCGGCCAACACGGTGAAACCTCGTCTCTACTAAAAATACAAAATATTAGCCGGGTGTGGTGGTGCATGTCTGTAATCCAGCTACTCAGGAGGCTGAGGCATGAGAATCACTTGAACCTGGGAGGCAGAGGTTGCAGTGAGCCAAGAATGGGCCACTGCACTCCAGCCTGGGTGACACAGTGAGACTCTGCCTCAAAAAAATAAAAAAGGCAACTGAAACCTAGCTTTTAAAAGAGAAATCTGCATTTTTATGATTGTGACTAGGAAAAACTTTTTTTTTTTTTTTTTTTTTCTAGGCAGGGCGCTAAAAAAACTTAAAAGTTGTGCGGGAGGAGAGGAAGGAAGGAAGGTGGCAAGCAACACCTGTTTGCAATAGGGCCTGTGGCTGTCAATTTTCAAGCTCTGGTTAATTTCTCTCCCCTGGATGGGGGTTCAAGAGGGTGCATGAACACCCTAAATTGTCTCTAAAACTGTTTATCTGTGCAGTTAACGTTCTGGGACTAGTTTTACAGTGTCTTAGAAGTGCACTGAGGGCCAGGCGAGGTGGCTCACTCCTGTAATCCCAGCACTTTGGGAGGCCAAGGCAGGAGGATTGCTTGATCCCAGGAGTTCAAGACCAGCTTGGGCAACATAGCGAGACACTGCCCCCCCACCCCATCTCTACAAAAAATTAACCAGGTGTGGTGGCATGTGCCTGTGGTCCCAGCTACTCTGGAAGTTTAGCAGGAGATCGCCTGAGTCTGGGAGGTTGAGGCTACAGTGAGCTATGATTGGCCACTGCACTGCAGCCTGGGTGAGAGTGAGATCTGTAATCAAAGGAAAAAAAAAAAAATTCACTAAGACCAGAAAAGGGGAGACCCAGGAAGTTTACATTTAAAAATGTTTTCAATTTTGGAGACAGGGTCTTGCTCTGTCACACAGGCTGCAGTGCAGTGGCATGATCACAGCTCATTGTAACCTGGATCTCCTGGGCTCAAGTGATCCTCCTGCCTCAGCCTCCTGAGTAGCTGGGACTACAGGTGTGAACCACTATACCCACTCCAGGAACATTTTAGAATCGCTGTTTAAACTCTTGGCTCTTGAGAGCATGTCACTGCACTCTAGCCTGGGTGACACAGTTAAACTCTGTCTTTAAGAAAAAAACAAAAAACAAAAAAAAAACCACAAAAAACAAAAAAACTCTTGGCTCTGTCCAACTGTCCCTTATACAGGGGCATCAAATGTCTAGTGAAATCCATATGCATAAAATACAGAGAGGTCAGGCTGATACAGGGCTGCATCCAAGAGCAGCTCAGCCCATGAAGGGCTCATCAGCCGACCCCATCGTCAGCCCAGTGATCCCATCCTCAGCATACTTCACTGTGACTGTGGGAGCTATGTGGAGAAAGGCAGGAGAGAGCCTGAGAAGGTGGGAAATGGAAACACCTAGAGGCTGGTCTTAATTTCCAGCAGGGGAGCCAAGAACTAAGTATGTCATGAGTGGACAGGGCCCGGGTGCAGTGCGCCCGGCCTAATTTTTGTATTTTTAGCAGAGATGGGTTTTCACCATGTCGGCCAGGCTGGTCTCGAACTCCTGATCTCAGGTGATCCACCCACCCTGGCCTCTCAAAGTGCTGTGATTACAGGGAAGCATGTGGGGCAGCCTCAAGGGGTTTAGTGGAGGGGCATTTAAGAAAATGATGTCAACTGGCCGTGGTGGCTCACACCTGTAATCCCAGCACTTTGGGAGGCTGAGGTGGGATAATTGCTCGAGTTCGGGAGTTCAAGACCAGCCTGGGCAATATAGCAAGACAAAGTCTCTACCAAAAAAAAAAAGAGAGAGAGAGAAAAAAAAAAAAAAAGCACTTTCTTGGGTCTCATCCCAGACTTAGGCTGATGATCAGACTCTCCATGTGATTCTGATGCACACTAGGAAGTTTGAGAATCAAGGGTGTAGAAAGCTGCTGAGCAACAGGACCCAGGAAACAAAGCTTGTTTCCTTCCCCTTCCAGTACTGTACTGTCACCACCCACCCGAAACCCTGTCTTAAGCAGACAGTGGATTTGACTTAAAGGAGACCGTCTAGAGCTGCTTGTGGCTAGTCTGAATTGAAATATGTTGGAAATGTGAAATACTAGATTTTCTTTTTTCTGATTTTTTTTTTTTGACAGAGTCTCGCTGTTGTTGCCCAGGCTGGAGTATAATGGCATGATCTCGGCTCACTGCAACTTCCGCCTCCTGGGCTCAAGCAGTTCTCCTGCCTCAGCCTCCAGAGTAGCTGGGATTACCAGCGCCCGCCACCAGGCCCGGCTAATTTTTGTATTTTTAGTAGAGATGGGGTTTCGCCATGTTGGCCAGGGTGGTCTCAAACTCCTGACCTCATGATCTGCCTGCCTCAGCCTCCCAAAGTGCTGGGATTACAGGTATGAGCCACTGCGCCCGGCTTTTTTTTTCTTTAAGATGGAGTCTCGCTCTGTCGCCCAGGCTGGAGTGCAGTGGTGCGATCTCGGCTCACTGAAACCTCCACCTACCAGATTAAGTGAGTCTCCTGGCTCAGCCTCTTGAGTAGCTGGGATCACAGGCGCCCACCACCACACCCACCTTTTTTTTTTTTTTTTTGTATTTTTAATAGAAACCGGGTTTTGCCGTGTTGGCCAGGCTGGTCTTGAACTTGTAACCTCAAGTGACCCGCCTGTCTCGGCCTCCCAAAGTGCTGGGATTATAGGCATGAGCCACCATGTCAGGCCAAGATTTCTAAGACAGTACAAAAAAGGAAAATACCTCAGTTTTTTTTACATGGATTATACATTGAAATATTTTGGGTATAACAGGTTAAATAAAATATCACTAAAATGAATCTAACCTCTTAATTTTTTTATGTGGTTACTAGAAAATTTGAAATTACATACGTGATTTGCGTTTGCAACTCACTTGATATTTCCATTGGACTCCACGAGTCTAAAGAATCTTAAAGGCCGGGCATGGTGGCTTACGCCTGTAATCCCAGCACTTTGAGAGGCCTAGGTGGGAAGAGAGCTTGAAGCCAGGAGTTCAAGACCAGCCTGGTCAACATAGCGAGACCCCTTCTCTACGATAATAATAATAAAATAGGGGCAGCCGGGCGCGGTGGCTCAAGCCTGTAATCCCAGCACTTTGGGAGGCCGAGACGGGCGGATCACGAGGTCAGGAGATCGAGACCATCCTGGCTAACACGGTGAAACCCCGTCTCTACTAAAAAAAAAAATACGAAAAAACTAGCCGGGCGAGGTGGCGGGCGCCTGTAGACCCAGCTACTCGGGAGGCTGAGGCAGGAGAATGGCGTGAACCCGGGAGGCGGAGCTTGCAGTGAGCTGAGATCCGGCCACTGCACTCCAGCCTGGGTGGCAGAGCGAGACTCCGTCTCAAAAAAAAAAAAAAATAATAATAATAATAATAATAATAATAATAAAATAGGGGCATCGATGCTGCCTATACTCCCAGCTGCTTAGGAGGTTGAAGTGGGAGGATCACTTGAACCCAGGAGTTAGAGGTTCCAGGATCGCGCCACTGCACTCCAGCCTGGGTGACAGAGCAAGACCCTTCCCTTCCCGCAAAAAATCTTAGAGCCACAGGAAAACTCACAGGGCCTCCCTCAAAGCAGTATCAGGGAGCATCAGGATTTCCTTGATGTCATTCAGATCACAGCTGTGGACTAAAAACATCCTTGATGCAGTCAGAAATTGTCACCAGAAATACACATGGAAGAGCAATAGTGGCCGGGCACCGTGGCTCACGCCTGTAATCCCAACACTTTGGGAGGCCAAGGAGGGCGGATCACGAGGTCAGGAGATCGAGACCATCCTGGTTAACACGGTGAAACCCCATCTCTACTAAAAATACAAAAAAAAAAAAAAAAAAGCCAGGTGTGGTGGCCTGCGCCTGTAGTCCGAGCTGCTGGGGAGGCTGAGGCAACAGAATGGCGTGAACCCGGGACCCGGGAGACGGAGCTTGCAGTGAGCCCAGATTAGGCCACTGTACTCCAGCCTGAACGACAGAACGAGACTCCGTCTCAAAAAAAAAAAAAGGCAGAGCTCTGGGTGTCTCCTCTGAAAATGCTGGGGGGAAGGGGAACCAAAAGGGCCCTCCTTGGATTAAAAGGGGATAACCAGCGGCTGAGTGACACCTGGCTCAGGAGGACACCCTTCCCCTTGCAACGTGCCACAAGTACCCGGTTCGGGTCCAAGGTTCGCCACTTGCTCGCCAGAGCTTTGAGCGGGTGAGTTCATTTCCCTCAGCCAGGGTCTCCTCTCCAGTCCGAGGTTGGAGAGAGGCTAAGAGATCCTAAGCTTGGATTCCATAGGGTTCTCCCACCTTGTCCGCACCCTGGATACCCCGAGAAAGACGACGACCTGTCTGGTCCCCAAGTACCAAAAGCTGGAAGAGAAAAAGAAAGTCTAACTCGGGCCCTTCGGAAACTGATCGAGGGCACTTTTATGGGGCACGTCGGGAAAAGTAGTCTTTTACGCTACAAAGAAATAACTTCCGGGTCAAAATATGGGAGTGGGCGTAGCCCTAAGTCTCTTCCTCCAGTGGGCGTTGACTTTCCCCGCTACCCTAAACTTACAGTTTTCTGGGTTCCGGTTGTTGACCGGCATCATTTCCCTTTTTGCTTCATTTTTGCCTGTGCGCATGCGCCAAACTCTCGTCCGCCTACTGGTGAATTTCAGCTTTCTTTCAAAAGACTACATTTCCCAGAAGGCCACGCGAGTGGGCGGGGAAATGCCCCCGGAGGAGGGGCGCGGCGTTCGCAGCGGACACTGAGCCTGTGACCTCTTTCTTTCTTTTATTTAACACAAAACTGACGTGTCCGCATTCACGGCCCCACGGCCAGGCTGGACTCGGTGCAGACAGGTCAGCTCGGCCTGGCCCTTTGGAAGGCGAGGCCGGGCTGCACTAAGAGAATGAGTGAGCCCCTCCCCTGCCCCCTCTTCTGGAGTTTGGAACTGTCAAGTTCCAGCTCCTACCCCCTTTCCCAGGTTCAAGACCCCTGCGCTGCCCACCCCGCGGGCCCGGCTGCGCTCGGAGGCCGGGCCTGGCCTGCCTGGCCCGTGAGGATCTGCACCAGCAGGTCGGTGGCCAGCATGGGCGTGGGCTCCTCGAAGCCGATGGTCAGCAGCTGCTGGTAGTCCCCAAGCGGCTGCGGGCACAAAATCCTGGGGTGGGGGGGCCAGGGATAGACAGGCCTGGACTTGAGTGCCCCCTGCCCCTCGGGAGTCCCTCCCTTTAAGTGAGATGCGTCAGCTGAAAGAGGCTTTGTTTCAGCTGCCGGTGGGAAAAACCCTCGGGGGAAACTTGTTTCCTTGTTGATCAGAAACTTAGTAATGGCTCCTAGAGGCTGAATAACTGGTCCTGACCTGTCCAATCGCATTGCTAGCTGTGTGTCCTTGGGCAGGTAACAACTTCTCTGAGCACCCTGTTTTCTTTGTTAAATGGGGCCAATAGCATAGATCTCGATGGGTTGTTACTGGGGTCTGCATGAAGTGCTTTTCAGGGCACAATAAAATCCTATCATTACTAAGGGAAGCAGTGTTTGGGAAGGTGGATTATCTTTGGTGGGGTTCTGCCTCCCCATCTAGTGCTTGGTCTAGCGCCCAAGCCCACGTTGCTATTGCCCTAGCTCCTACCATGAATAAAGGTCATCCTCGGCTGGTCCTAGGGGCACCCATCGGCCGATGGACCACAGCTTCTGGATCTGCGGGCACGAATTGGCTGGACTCTGGCCTGTGTCTTCCCAAGTATCTCGATAGCACAGGAAGTAGCTGGGAGGGGAGGGAGCTGTAATTAGAAGTGACCAATTTCCTAGCTTCTTCTGTTGAGGGCTTTAATTTTGGAGGTGAAGTGGGAACTCATCAGAAGTTGCCCTGAAGTTCTCAGGTAGGAATGTGACTCTAAGGCCTTTTCTCCCTGCCAGCCTCCTTTTAAGATGAGAACTTTTATTTTGGTGGGAGGGTGGGTTTTAAGAAAATAGAGGTAGCCTTTCAAAAGCCTTTAGTTTCCTGGTTCACTTTTTTTTAAAGAGACAGATTATTGTTCCCACTCAGGGTGGAGTGCAGTGGCAAAATCACAGCTCACTGTAGCCTTGAACTCCTGGGCTCAAGTGATCCTCCTGCCTGAGCCTCAAGTAGCTGGGACTACAGACGCCAGCCATCAGGCCTGGCGAATTTGTTGTTGAGACAGAGTCTTGCCATCTTGCCCAGGGTGATCTCAAACTCTTGGGCTCAAGTGATCCTCCTGCCTCAGCCTCCCAAAGTGTTAGGATTACAGGCGTAAGCCATGGCACCGGGCCCTGGCTCACTTTTCACTTTGCTGGTGACAGTTTGGAGGGCCATATTGGCATTCATCATAGAAAGGGTAGGACTGGCCGGGCGCGGTGGCTCAAGCCTGTAATCCCAGCACTTTGGGAGGCCGAGACGGGTGGATCACGAGGTCAGGAGATCGAGACCATCCTGGCTAACACGATGAAACCCCGTCTCTACTAAAAAATACAAAAAAAAAACTAGCCGGGCGAGGTGGCGGACGCCTGTAGTCCCAGCTACTCGGGAGGCTGAGGCGGGAGAATGGCGTGAACCCGGAAGGCGGAGCTTGCAGTGAGCTGAGATCCGGCCACTGCACTCCAGCTTGGGCGACAGAGCAAGACTCCGTCTCAAAAAAAAAAAAAAAAAAAAAAAGAAAGGGTAGGACTTTGATTTGGGTAAGAGGACTTACTAATCCACAAGGGAATCTTGTCCCCGACCAGGGGCCTCTGGGGTGGCTTCCAGGTGCCATCGCATCTTCTTATAGAGGTAGCGGGGGAAGCGGCTGGCAGTGTAGGCGGTTGGAGCACAGTATCTGAAGATGGAGATCTCATGGGACAGGCTGATGGAGAACCTCCCGCAAAAGAAACAGGAGATGCTGGCAAGACATGAGAGAATGGAGGGGTGAAGCTGGGCCTTGGACTCCTTCATCCCCCTCATCTGCATCTCCTACCATTTTACCTGAGGGGGTTTGTCTCCTCCAGGTCCACGAACCCAAAGGAAGCGTACATGAGGACCAGCTGTTCCAGGCGCAGGGTCAGCTGTTGGGAGATCTCTAACAGCTGCATACAGGATGGATACAGTGAGATCAGCTGGCCTGAGAGGAGTGGGCCTCCCCCTCCACCATCCCCACAGCCTCGGAGCTGCGAGAAGAAAGGGGCCTGGGGTCTAAGAAACCTCTACACACCCCCTTTCGGACCAGCTCCTGCAGGGGTCCATAGATGTGGGGTACGCTTCTCGCGGCTGCCTCCAGGTACAGGAAGTAGGGCTCACACATCTGTAAAAAGGTGGGCATGGCCTTGGCCAGCTGCTCCTTCTGTACTTGGTCTCTGCTGAAGGAAGAAGGGGGCCTTTGCCTGCAATCCCTCACAATCCCTCCCCACCCCCCCGTTTTCCCCCATTCTACTCAACCCCAACCTGTATCCCTGGCTTTGACCCCTGTTAGAAAAGCCCCCAGTTTCAGGTCTTTTCTGAACATCTTTCTGGTTCACCTGCATCAAACCCATTTGGAACACTTGTTAAAAGGGCTGACACCTGAGTCTCACATCGCCACTTAGGACCCAGAGCTTCCTGCAGGGACTGGGCGCAGTGGCTCACTCCTGCAATCCCAGAGGTTTGGGAGGCTGGGGCTGGAGGACTGCTTGAGGCCAGGAGTTCCAGACAAGCCTGGGCAACGTAGCAAGACCCCGTCTCTACACAAAAAATAATTAGCTGGGCATGGTGGCACCTATAGTCCCAGTTACTCAGGAGGTGGAAGTGGGAAGATTGCTTGAGACCAGGAGTTTGAGGCTGCAGTGAGCTATGACTGCCCCACTGCACTCCAGCTTGGGCGATAGGGCAAGACCCTGTCTCATTAGAAAACCAGCTTTATGAGAATCCCTTGAACCTGGGAGGCGGAGGTTGCAGTGAGCTGAGTTCGCCCCCACTGCACTCCAGCCTTGGTGACAGAGCGAGACTCCATCTCAAAAAAACACAACACAAAACAAAAAAAACCCAGCCTCAGCCGGGTGTGGTGGCTCACGCCTGTAATGTCAGCACTTTGGGAGGCCGAGGCAGGTGGATCACGAGGTCAGGAGTTCAAGACCAGCCTGGCCAAGATGGTGAAACCCCGAATCTAGTTAAAAAAAAAAAAGAAAAAAATTAGCCGGGCAACGCGTGTTGGCGGGTGCTTGTAATCTCAGCTACTCGGGAGGCTGAGGCAGAGAATTGCTTCAATCTGGCAGACGGAGGTTGCAGTGAGCCGAGATTGTACCACTGCACTCCAGCATGGGTTGCAGTGAGCCGAGATTGTACCACTGCACTCCAGCATGGGCAACAGAGCGAGACTCCGTCTCAAAAACAAGCAAAATCCAACCCAGCCTCCTAGGAGATACCAATGGACACTGAAATTGGAGACTCACAAGGAAACCTGGTGTGTGAATCACATGATCCTTTGGAGTCTCAAACTGATGTCCTGCAGGCCAAGTTTGGCTCAGGTGGGTCTTCTTTAGTCGGCACAGGGTTCAAAATCTAAGACAGCACTTAAAAACTGGGAGAAAAAGTCCTAGAGACTTGACAACCCTAGGCCCACACTGCCAGGACAGTAATAGCAGCAGTCCCCTACCCTCAATTCTACAGTCCTCCTCACTCTCTTAAACTGGATTCTGATATGCTAGCCTCTTCCACTGCCTCCCTCTGGCTCCTAGCGCTTGTCATTTTGCAACCCTGGCGTGTGTCACCCATCCTGTCGCCTCCCCTCCAAGTCTTCTTACCCATGGGGACCTGGGACCCTGTCCAGCATCACCTGTAGAGCAAGTAGCTCTGGAAATCATCCGCCTTCTTGAGTAGGTAGCGCAGCTGTTGGGTGATGGGGCTGAACAAAATGTCCAAGGATAGGCGGGGAGGTGCTGGCCCGGGCCCGGGGACCAGAGGTTCGGGGGAAGGCGTGGAGGCCGGGGCCTCAGCCAACTGACCCTCGGCATCTTCAGGGTCCGGCTCAGGTGGGTTCCCAGGCCTGCTAGGGGGCGTCGACCAGGAGGGGTCTCCGCAGGGCGGTGTCCCAGGTTCCAAGGCATCTGGAGGCGGTGTTTCTCCAGGGTCCAGGGGGAGCGACCCCTCGAACCACTGCTCCGTAGCCATGGTAGGGCCGGAGGCCGAGGGGTGGAGGGACCTGAGCTCTTTAAGCTTCCGCTGCTGCTCACGTTGGCCGCTGGTTCGACGCCGCCCCGGGAGCCTCCGACTGGCCCCTGCCTTGACCTCTCCACCGGAGCCGCGCCGCCGCGCCGGGGGCGGGGGCGTTCGCCTCTTTTGAATTTCAACACGCGGGAGGGGCGCGCCGCTCCAGTCCGCGCGCCCGCGGCCCCCTACCCCTGCACACGCGCCGCACGCGCTCCGGGAACCTGGCGGTGGGGAGGAGGGACCTGCCTAGGGAGGTGACTTCTGGCCGTGTCCTGGGGGTGTGGCTAGGGCCGGGACCTTTATCTCTCGAGGTGGATTCCTAGAGTGGAGGGGTCTCCAAACGTGTCTCCAACACCTCAACCCGGCACAGGTATATGGAATGAGGCTGCCCAGGCCCCAGCCCCTCACTCGCAGAACGCTGGCTTTTTTTTTTGGTAGAAATTTTTTTTTTAATTTAAAATTTTTAGAGATGGGGGCCTCTCTATGTTGCCCAGATTGGTTTCAAACTCCTGGACTCAAGCGATCCTCCCGTCTCCGCCTCCTGAAGTGCCCAGCCTGTTTTTTTTTTTTAAAAAACCCAAAAAACAAAAAATCTCTAATGGAGTTGAGACACTGCCTTAGAACTTAGTAGGGACTTTGGATGTAGTAGCTCTGACGACTACTACTAACAATAAAAAAAAAAAATCTGAAAAAAATCTTCAGGCTGGTCTTGGTGGCTCATGTCTGTAATTCTGACACGTTAGGAAGCTGAGACGGGAGAATTGCTTGAAGCCAGGTATTCAAGACCAGCCTAAGCAACAGAGCAGGACCCTGTCTATACAAAACATAAAATGTTCGTTGGGTGTTGTCTGAGGCACGAGAATCACTTGTACCCAAGAGTTCGAGGCTGTCACCAGTTATGATTGCACCACTGCACTCTAGGCTGGGTGACAGAGCAAGACTGTCTTGAAACAAACAAAATCTTCACTTGGAAATCTTCTCATGATCTCATCTGATGGCCCAGAAGGAATTTTCTGTTGTTTTAATGAAGAAGACCATGAGGTCTGGAGAGCCTACTATGGTCCTAGAACAGATTCCTGCCCCCAATATTTGTAGCAGATTCTTTGCAGTAGACAAAGGCTGACAGGTTTATAGTTTTTAATGTACGTTATGTCAAATACTCTATATTTAAAGACTCGGAGTGAAGAACTCGGACAGGTGTCAGATGCCACCCTGTGTGATCCCCAGCAGACAGTATCTCTGTGCCGGGCCAGCTGCCTCTTCTGTAAGGTGGGATTTTATGAGTTGTCTTATGGGGACCTGAGGAGGACAGTTGAGAAAATGCTTATAAACCCAAGGACTTAACTGCCAACCATTCAACAATATTTGAGGCCAGGCATGGTGGCTCAGCTTGTAATCCCAGGCAGGAAGAGAGAATCGCTTGCAGCTGGGAGTTTGAGGCCAACCTGGCCAACAAAGTGAGACCCTCATCTCCACACAAAAAAAATTTTTCTTGAGACAGTCTGCCGCCCAGGCTGGAGTGCAGCGCGTGATCTTGGCTCACTGCACGCTCCACCTCCCAGGTGTAAACAATTCTCTGCCTCAGCTTCCCGAGTAGCTGCGATTACAGGCACCCACCACCACGCCCAGCTAAGTTTTCTTTCATTTTTTGTATTTTTAGTAGAGACAGGGTTTCACCATCTTGGCCAGGCTGATCTTGAACTCCTGACCTCGTGATCCACCTGCCTCAGCCTCCCAAAGTGCTGTGATTACAGGTGTGAGCCACCACGCCCGGACAAAAATTTTTACAAATTAGCTGGTCATAGCAGAGTGCACCTGTAGTCCCAGCTACTCCGGAGGCTGAGGTGGGAGGATCACTAGAGCCCAGGAGTTTGAGGCTACAATTATGATAGCACCACTGCACTCCAGCCTGGGTGATAGAATGAAACCATCTCTAAAATGAAAACACAAATTCAGCACCTGCTCTGTGCCTAGCTCAGTTCTGGGACATGGGGAGATTACAGAGGAAAAAAAACCCAAAGATTCCCACCTTTCTGCAGCAATTACTGTTATCGACAGTTATAATGCATTGTTTCCGTTTTTCTCCCTCTCCAAACAGTTCTGTCCTAACCGGAGGCTCTTTAATGCCCTCTCCCCACCCCATTCATAAAACAGACTCCGTGGTTCTTTTTTTCCCTTTTCCTTTTTTTAAAATTTTATTTAAAAAACCTTCGGTGCAATATTAAAAAGCAATACAGCCAGCTCGAGCGACAATCAACAGAAACAAAAGAGGCAGGAGAGGAAAGGCCCGAGGAACCCCAACCCAGCTAGTCCCCTAGGGGCTGGAGGCCAGGGGCAGACTGAGAAGGGGGGCATGGGTGGTAGGGGAGGGAGGAAAGACCACCCACCAAAATAAACAGGCAGATCCAAACATTTATACAGGAAACATCTGGCTGAACGGAAGAGGATCTTGGGGAGACGAGAAGCCCCCAACATTTCATTTTTTTTTTTTTCCTAAAATGTCCTGGGCTGGGTGGGGAGGGTCAGCCACCTGGGGTTTAAGGAGCAATTCCCTCCCCACACCGACGTGCTGAGGGGCAGATGTGTAAGAGAGAGAGACACAAGGGGCAGAGATGAGGACAAGAGGGTGCCCTCTCCCTGGAATCTGTTATGAGGGCTGAGGGTGTCCCCGTCCAGCTCCTGGACTCTGGGGGGGTCTTGGGTGAGATGGGGGCCGGAATGGGTTGGGGCAGGGGTGAGGCTGGGCGCTCAGCCTAAGAAGCCATCGGGGTCATCATCCTCAAAGTGGCCTTGCTGAAGCACCTTGATGTGGTGCTCGTAGATTTTCAGGGCTGGCCCGAGGCGGATGGACAGGCCGGTGAGCACATCTGTACGCTGCATAAGCAGCAAAGATTTGCCATCAATTTCCTGGGTGGGACAGGGACAAAAAGAGAGAGCGAGCCGCGGTTAGGGCACATCCCAGAGAGCCCCTCTGTGTCTGTCAGTGTGTAGTCCTGGGCTGGGAACTCACCTGTTCTTGGAAAGCTGTCGCCTGCTCCGGGAAGCCAGCCTCGGTAAAATATTCCACAACATCCATCACCGTCCATTCCACGGGATCAGACGGCTTCTCTTTGCGCCCGGGACTGCATCAAAACAGATGGGCACCAGTGAACAGGGGTGTCCCTCTGGCTGTGCCACACACCTGGGCAGCACTCCCATGTCTCCAACACCCCAACTTACGGACAGCCAAAGGGGGTCCCGTCGGCCCCAGGTAGGGCTGGTTTGCCTGGGGGCAAAGGCACGGGGGACGGAGAGTCTGGCCCGGTGGCAACAGAAGCT